CTGTTTAAGGTCATTAAGGGCCTGTTAATGTCCTCAGCATTACAGCCTGCTATAATGAACTATCAGATTGTCGATACATGAGAAGGGCTGGTTAGAAGACACAGATAAAGTAAAAGAGAAAAAGCTAGCAGAAAGTTTAGTTAACTTTTTCCTGCTTTTACTTTATTAGTTTTGTTTTTCACTTAATTTTGCCAGTCTGGGATGTGCTTAAGATGCTGGAAAAAAATTCACAACTTTTTTTTTTCTTTCCTGCTTCATGGATTATGTAACTATCCAAATCTCAGAGATCTACATATTCATGCAAATAGATTAATTGCAGAAAAACTTTAACTCTTGGTCTTTAGACTTTAGTCTTGGATATACACCTTTTGCCATTTTTCCTAATATACTTTTCTTAGTTCTGAAACATGACTGATAGGCCTTCACACTGGAAACAGCATGAAAAGATGGGAGAAGCTTAGCTCTATAAGAACCAGTTCCAGTTAGCTTTGTAGCTGGAACAGGACAGGGTTACAGTCTTAGTCAAAAGCAAAATGTCATTTAAAAAAAAATCAGTTATTGAGTTCCATCACATGGTCCTTAAGTTGCTTTCTCCTGTTTTCGCACGTGGAGAGTTGCTAAAGCACATGATAGATAAAATCACTTTAGACTATTTTTGAACCATCTCTTTCAGCAGGTTTTGTTTGCTCTATTACAAAACCTTGGCAGGCAAGGAAAATATTCTCAGAATAGCAGATTTCTTGTTTTGTTCTGTCTCTGTTCCAAAAGCACACGGTTGTATTTGAACAGCTGACCTGAACAAGCAGCCATCAGACATGACACTGACATACAATCACAGCCTTCCTCACAGAGCACTGAGGATCCAAGGCCAAAGCGCACCCTCACACATACATGTCCTAGTCCTAGAGGTTCAGGTTTAAACCATACTTGTTATTTTTCTTGAACTCAGTTTTCTATTGGCAAGGAAGACCAAACAAGTTCTCTTTATAGCAAAATAAAAAACTGAGGCTGCTTTGCAGAAAAGGATTTCCTGACACTGTTGCTAGGACAAGAACCAGAGGAGCTCGGTCTGTCTGTGTGTCGTTACCGAACTACACAAAGCTGTAGTGTCTCAAGATTTTTTGTTTTCAACATAAATATAGTCAGCAAAAACACTCAATGTGCACCCATACTCTCCCGTGCAGGCAGGAGCTTACCTGCCACTGAAGAATAGAGCTGTAAAGGATGTGGAGACACAGAGAGTGGGCAGAGCTCAGCCTGTGACTGTGCTGGCAGTGCACACCGACAGAATTCAAAATATCCTCCCTGGGTAACGCAGCCTTTGGTGGCTCTCAGCACCTTTAGGACTTAGCAGCTGCTCACAAGTGCTGCTTTGGCTAGTAACGTAGCTGACAATGCACCACAGGGTAAAGGTCTAGGTCACAGATTAGCTAAAAAACAGGTTAAAGTAACCTAAAAAACTTCTTGACTGTTTATACTGTGCATGCTTGGACAAACACTACCAACCTGGGTAGTAAATAACACCAACCTAAACTGAGCTCTTAACTGAAGTATCCTCTAACTGCTGCAACTAACATTAGCATTCACAGTTATGTTAATGTTCAGAGATTTTTACTCTTATTCTTAATGAGGTCGGTATAGAATCTGCTCTCGAAAATGTAAGTGAAAACGGAAATCAAAATGTAAATAAAAAGGTCAATTAATCACTGGAAAAAAAAAAAAAGCCCTGACAAACACATCCTTAATAAGGAATGTCAAAGAATGATTTTTATAAAACGCAGTTAGTGCGAGTGTTTTCACACCACTGCTAACAATTGCCTTGATGCAGATTCCCTTTCTCCCTCCATTTTCCCCTCTTCGCACGCAGCAGCCGTTTCCAGCGGCAACACTGCAGCCCTGTGTCCGGGTGCCAACCAGCGCCCTCAAGGCCCCAAACGCCCTCAGACAAGCGGCGGGCGGGGACCGGCTGCTTTTCATGGACTGCACAGAACGCAGAAGGCCGCGGCCAGGGCGCAGCATCT